AGAAGGCAGTGAGGATATGTTGTGGTTATGCCATTGGAAGTTTAAGGATTGGTTTAAAGCTGGAGATGCAGTGCAGTTTTCAGTGGCAATGGCTCCGTATTTTCAGATGAAGAGGTGTGGTATCCGTCCTCTTTACGAACAGCAAGATGGTGATGATGTTGATTCAAACTCTGGAGAAACAGTCCAGGGCACCCCTCTTCGGCGCAGAACTCTCACTGATAGAGATTTAATGGCATACAAGTGGGACGCAACATATGACCTTCACCATTATGACACTTATTATAAATAGTCTCAAGAGTCAATCAGAACTCTGAAAGTGAATATAGAAACAGCTGACCTCCAAAACCTGGGCTATGCAGAAAAGAATTGAGGCATTAGCACATGAATGTACCCTTTGCAGCTGATGCAGAGTGGTGATGGAATTTTTCATGCTGTGATGTACCAAAAATGATTTATAGACCGGAAAACGCGACTGGAGATTTGTTGGGAGCAAAAAATGTATGCATTTTCTTCCTATTCAAGCACTAGACAACTTTTCTTTTTATGTTGGCATCTCAAATCCATCTCTTTTAATGAGTACTTGACCACTTTCGAATCTGATATGGCTTCACAAGGAACTTCTTGCTTAAACTTGTTCCTATCACATTTTTTGCCTAATGATGTTGGGATGATGGGCCTTTATAATTTCAATGGTGTTTAAAACTCCCTAATTTCCTTGGAATGCCGTCCATGCCTTCAACATGGAGCCAAAAGTAGGAAAACAAAATGTCCATCCTTTCGAGCAGAAACAATGTCTGGGCCTGTAACTGGTGCAGTCTTTCTGGAGTTTTAAATTGCATTGCCATTTTAAGCCTTTCTCCTGTGAAACTTGCACAAGATCTGATCTTGTTAAAAATGGCGTCGTGATTTCCAGGGTTTTTTTTTTTACATTGCCAGGGAAAAATTAAAGAGATTATGATATAATAAAGAAATTACAGCAAAAATGATTTTTTAAAAACACATCAAAATAATATTTTTATTTTATTTTTTAAAATTCATTTATAATATAAATAGATCACAACTATTCAAAAAAACTAAACAAAATAAAAAAAAAAAGATTCTAAATTAAACCCATATCACAAAATTTAAAAGCAGAAATGCAGAAGAAACAAAACTATGAACCATAAAACAAGAGCTGATAAGCAAAACTCGTACTAGCAAAGAGAATTTCAGTAATGAGGTGCATTCTAGACAGCTCAAAATCAGCACTAGTAATTCCTTGACAAGCAAATCTTATACTACAAACTCATATAGTATAAAGGGCAACATTTGCAGCAGCATCTGAGGGGGAGAGAGCCAAGAACATGAGAGCGGCCATAATTCCAACTGGAAAGAACAGAAGTATCAATGGTGGAGGAGGAAGTGGGGGTAACATCAATGGCAACACAGCCATTGATGCTGCTAAAACTGTTAGTATCAAAACACTCACGATGCTGAAACACTGCACCATTGTCTTGTAGTAGTAGTAGTCCTCACTTTTCTTGATTTCCTTGAATCTCTATATATCATTTCTTGCCTCAGCTAACTGCAGCAAGACTGTGCCAGTGCAGAGAAACGGATTTCAGGAAATGGATGATACAACAATGAAAACAAGAATTTGTGCACCTTTTCTTTGGTTTCTTGGAATCTAAGATGGGCCCAGAAAACGAAAGAATATATGGTTGGTATGGCGAAGAACAAGAAAGGGAAGTGCGATAACCAAATGACCTTTTCGAAATGAAGAAGTGTATGTATAGAGGCACCAAGACTTTGTACAAGATTGAGGCACTGATATTGATTTTTTGGGTCAAGAAATCTGGTTTAGGGTGCTGGTCCAAATCAGACAGAATCAGAGCAGCAGATCCCAATATATTTAAATTGATACGTTGGGAACCACCAGGAACATTAGTTTAAGATAATCACTGTTTTTTAGCATTATTTTAAGGGTTTGAAACAATATAATTAAAATAGATGATGATCAGGTTGCTTTGTTACTTTTGTCTGAGTTTTGTTTTTCTAATGTTTCTTTTCCAGTTGGACCAATGTGCTGGAACAAAAAGGATTCGACCAAAGTCATGAAAATGATGTCTTTTTAACGCGGATCTTCTAGTGGAGACCTAGTCCTACACTCGTTTGAATTTCAGAATTTCAAGTACCATTATTTTTAAATAATGTGATTTTAAATTTTTTTATAAAAAAAAAATTAGTTAGAACGTTTTATTCACGACTTGGATCTTATATTAAATCAATTTTCAAATTGTAATGTTTAATAATTATAATTCAGTATACAAAGTTTATTTCATATTATAGTGTATAATATTCTTTGTTTAAAAATATATCATAATAATTTTATTTTCAAATTGTAACATCAACACATTAACATTATAAAAAAAAACACTAAGGAAACCATCAATTTAATATTTTTTTAAGACATATATATACTCTTAAAAAACATATATGATACTTTATAATCTATGCTTATGTGAAAAGTTGGATGCATATTATAACCTATGCTTTTGTATAGTACAGGTTTGGATGTGTGTTCAGTGATCTGAACTTGGAAAGTCTTGAACGCCATGCAATTCTCTGTATTATTCTATGGTACCTTTTCGAAGCTGTTTCTTCATCAAATGGGATTATTTCAGTAATAAAAAACGGCCTCAAATCGAAAATACTTTTTCTTTCATTATTGATATTGGGTTTAGGGTTAAAATATAATTAAAATCAATTTCATGTCTTCTTCTTAAAGAAGACGAGGCAAAATCTATTTACCATCAAAACTAGCACCAGAGAGTTTCACTGCATGGTAATAATATTTCACTGCATGAATGTCTTCCTTTTTTAATGGTGGGAAAAACTAAATTTCACAACCAATGACGTTGAGTCAATGACCCATCAAGAACAAGAAGATACGGCAGCTCGATTGCAGAGAGAAGAGAATAAGTGAAGAGGGATTCGAAAAGATATTGCCCAGAATCCAAGAATGCTTGGAACCCCAGATCATGGAAGCACGGTCCTGCTTCCAGTGGGAACCTAATCAGTTTACATATATACTTACGTCTCTTTCTCTCGGAATCAACGGCAGGCAAACACGCAGAGAGTGTCTCAGTTCATTGCATGCTTCATGAAGCGCAGAGAGTGCCTTTCAATGCTGGCACGTCTGACACTCAAAAAAAAAAAAAAATAATAAGTCTCCTACGAGAATTCTTGCATGAATTTTCCTAATTTCTTGTTGACAAAAGGCAAATTCTTATAACATGTTCGATGTTCGAGAGTCTTGTGGTTTTTTAAATACTTTCTTAAAATATATTTAATTTTAAAAATATTAAATTAATGTTTTTTTAACACGCAACACCGGTTTGTTTTCTGTCCAAGCTGTATTTTAAAAAAAATTATTTGTTTAAGTTATTATTTTTTTATATTTTTATTAATATAAAAAATATTATTTTAATACATTTCTAAAAAAATATTTTAAAAAATAACTTTTATTCAGGAACAAATACTACCTACATATATACATTAAAAAAATAAAAATTCAAGCAACCAATCTCCAGGAAACATAAAATCCAGAATAGCAACTCCTTATTAAAAAAACAAAAGCATAATGATGTTGAAGATATGAATCACATGATGAATGATAGTGACATAAACTATGAAATTTCTCCTCCTCTTTACAGATTGGAAGAATAGGTGCTGCATGCTTGCAAGTGGGTACATTTGCACTGACTGCTGCTGGTGGTTGCTGCATTTTAGGATTGGATTTTAATGGAGGACTACATAATAATATAGTTTAGCTATATCTTTCTCATATAATTAAAGAGATCATGTCATGTGTGCAATGTATCTGCCCTAATTGCCTGCACCACGGCCGACGTCTCTCTTTCCAAAAGTCACACCTACCATGGGCGATACGCACCAGTCTGTTCTTCCGTGTCTCTCACTTTTCTTTGTTCGATGAAGCCAACTGGGGTTCCGATCCAAAAGTATGTGACTTTGTGTGATCAAATATTAAGAAGCAAAGTTCTTTTGTCTCTACCATTTCTCCCAGTTTTTTCTTCTAGGGGCTTGGCTTTGACTAGTAGAATAATAATTTTTTTATTTTTTTAATATGAATATTCAAATTAGTTTAATTTAGATGCATCTTAATTAATTTTATAATTTTTGAAATTAACAACTATATAAATCTTTAGTAATTCTAAAATTTATAAAATTTAAACTAATAATTTTTAAAAAATATATTTAAAATAAAACTTAATTAGTCAAACTACACATTTCAAAGTTAATGATAACCTTATTTGACCATTGTAGTGTGTATGCATCTTGTTCTGGATCCGTATTTGACCATTGTAGTGTGTATGCATCTTGTTCTGCATTGGGAAATTTGTGCATGTATTCTTGTCTGTCACAGAAATTTGTTTACCTCGATAGGATTCAATGCTTCACGGTTAACTCAAGTACATTAAAACGTGGAAAAGAAACCCTTTAATTCATCACCCAAGCTAAAAGTTCAAGAATCAAGGGTTTACTGTCCAAATGACTGGCAGGGAAATAGAAATGCAACGAGACAAAGCATTTTCGAACTTTGGACCGAGTAGTAGTCCTGTGTAGTTGAGTCCAATATTCAGCTCCGTTGAAAGTTCAACGCTCTTTGTTTTTCACTTCTTTTCTCAAATTTGGGCAGACACAATTCTGGGCCACAGTTGAGGATGGGAGTGCATGATGTGAGTTAGCTGAAATTGAGCCGAGACCAGTAGGGTTTTCTGTAATGGGATTGCTTCGAAATGAGTATGGTGTGATCAGCAAGAGTTAGGGTTTATTAACTTGAAAGAAACATAATGAAGTTGAAATTCTATTTAGATGCCAAGTTAACTAGTTTTTTTACCTGTACATTGGTTATTGAAATGTTGGATATTACAAAACTTGTCGAATTCACCCTTTAAAAAGTAAGAATTTCCCTTCAACTCCTATAGTCGGCGGAGAGAGATCAGAAGATAACATTAATCCAACACATGAGGGCAGTTCCCCCGGAGAAACTGTCATCCATCGAAATAAAGCATGCTTGCAAATCAAGTACAAGAGAAAACATCATTTGGTGCATGTTTGTGAACTTAATCCTAGGACATGCACGGCATTATAATTTACAAGACACAAATTCCTGAACTAACATGGAAAGATCGAGAGTTACTTCATTGTTGCTACATCTTGCTTTCTGAACATATGTTGTGATAGCTGTGGGACTAAACTAGATGAATCAACACATAACAACATTTGCTTATCAGCTGCTCTTGAAAATGCGAAAGCTCATTCTGAAGCCTCAGTTCTGAGAGATGAATGCCCAGTTGAAAACGAGCTCCTACCTCAGAATCCCATTTACAAGGTATGATTCATACCTTCAAAATTGAGGGACGTTAAACTCTTATCAGCCGCAGTGGTAACGGCCTTTTTTTCTTGAAATCTGAACATGGCCTTGTCAGCTTTTGTTTACGCTCATGTTTTGACAGCGTGGACAGACTTTCTGCAGATTTAACTACATTCAAGTGTTCTGAAACCTGCAGCAATAAAGATGAATATTGCAAAAGAGAGAAAACAAGAAATAACACAAATTTAACGTTGTTCAGCAATGTGCCTACATCCGCAATGTGCCTCCATCCACATGAGCGAAGCTATATTTCACTATACGTCGAATTAGGTTAGCATAATATGTATTTTATAGTAAACCCTAGCTGTACAAGAGGTATTAGTAATTTCCACTAATCTCCCTATGAGCCACATACTATAACACAAAATTTACTGTCATCAAGGAATGGCGCTCTGCTAAGGCTTGTGATGTTTTTGCTATCCAGTCACATCTTTCACTTACAGGTGGTCAGCTGTCTCTCCAGAATTGCCATTCAAGCTTAGCCATACATGATGTTTCATCTTCAACGTAGTCAGACAACTGAGAAAGAATTTGGAATTGCAACATGGATTGGCCTCAAAACTCAGGGAAGCTCTGTTGATTAAAAAAAAAAAAGTTATAAACTTGAGTAATAAATAAGCATCACCCACTCTGCTATCTGCATTGATACAACGAGAAATAAATGCATGCAAGAAGGATTACGTGGCCATTACCAGCAATCTTTTTACTTCTATATTTCAGTATGGTATTGAACATTTTTTAAAGCCTACCATTTGGAGATGAAACCTGAAACAAGCTATTCAATAGAGTACATAAGCAATTTCAAGTTTTCTCCAATCCAAATAGTATGACAAGCAAGCATAAAAGACATCGACCTCTCTTACAGAAATACTCTTCAACAGTACTGCAATCAAAGTGAATAAGACTTGCCTCTGAAGATTTCCATTTAAGATTCAGATTAAAATCATTAGTCTTTTATATATATTTTATATTTTCCAACGGTAACAATCCTAGTCCTATATTAATTCTCTTTTTTTTGAGATATAAAAATAACTAATTCTTTTATTCTTATTTTTTTGGTTAGTGTCTATTGAAAAAAAAAGATTGTTAATCCTTAATAGGATACATCTCTGAATGTCTAAGCGTATAGGGACTTGAATAGAAAAGGATGTTGATTTATATAGCATACTATCCCATGAAATTCCCCCTTTTTTAAAAATAGTCTATGAGACCAACTAGCCGTTAGGTCTTCTAATCCATGACATTCTTGCAAATCAAACCTGAGCAAAATGTCATTTGTATGTTCCACGGTTTCACACACAATCCAACAGACAACTATGAGAGCAACTGGTGTTTATGACTTCTAATCCATGACATGATTGCAAATCAAACCAGAGTGAAACATCATTTGTATGGAAGACTGGAATATAGCTCCAAAATATGTCGGGCTAACCAATGAAAGGTGAATCAGCAGGCAACACTCCAAGCAGAAATGACCATCAACTATAGTTGATAACACAAAATCCTGTGCCTGAGCTTCAGTCTTTCAAGTGTAATTTCTGAACCGGATTTGAAATCAGTTACAATATCAATACTATGCTCACCATAAGCCTCCAATTAGTGCATGACCACTCCACATACCAAGCAGAAGCACCATCTAGATATTCCTTATATGAAAATGCATTAGTCTGAATCCTTTCCCTTCGAAATTGAGCAACACTATACTCTCATAAGCAGCACCAATTCAGATATTTATGTAAGGAATCTATTTCATTTAGTAAATCAATCCTAATAACATGAAAGTGATTTATTATGAATCTATATCTGAATCCCACCAGGAACTAAAGAAGCATGCCATGGATATTAAAAGTCCAAAAGCACCACCACACATCTGCCTGTGCAAGCTCGCACTTGTGCATCTAGGTGTGTTTGTGACCAAAGGATTTAAAAGTAGCTTTATATCTGTGAAAAATATGATGCTTCAAAACAGAAGTAGCATGCAACAGCACTAGGAATCTTGATATTGAATTTGGATTATAATACCTCAGCATGATGAATAGATATGTATGTTAGGAACATGCTGAATCTTGTGCCAGTCTTCCCCCTTCTCTCGCTGACACCTACTTTCCAGCAAAGGACACTCCCGGATATATAGAGATGAGAGAGAGGGGGGCAATGGTTCTTCTGGCATGGACTGCAGCATGGGGCAGCTCTCAATCTCCAATTCTCTAAGAGCAGTGAGGTGTTGAAATCCCTTGTGTCCTAGAGATTCCAGATTCTGAAGTGCCCATATTTTAAAAGAGGTAAGAGTGGCAGGCAGTCCTTCTGGCAATGACTGGAGCTTAGGGCAACCATCAATCATCAATTCTCTAAGAGAGGTAAGGTGTTGAAGTTCCCTGTAGTCCAGCAATTTCAGATTTTGGAGATCTGAGATTTTAAGAGAACAGAGACTGGGTGGAAGCTGCAAACTTTCAGGGAAGGATTCCACTTCTTTGCACATACCAATAGTTAAGTGTGAAAGAGAGTGAAGTTTTTGCAAATTCCATTCTGAGCAGGCATTAATGAGTTTCTGGCAAGCATAGACCTCAAGTGATTCTAATTTGCAGGGCAATCCCCCTTTTGGAAATGACTCAAGTTCTGGACACCTTCTTAAAGAAATTTCCACGAGGGATGGGAGAAGGGAGTCCATATATTCAGGCAGTGACTTCATCTTCGAGCAGTTCCGCAACCGAAGCACAGTCATATTTGGAGCAGCTAATCCTCCTTCGGGAAAAGATACCAAATGGGGGCAGTCCTTGATTTCCAAGGAATAAAGAGATGTGGCATCCCCACGAGCTACTTCATGTGAAGAAAGGGATTGGAGATTTGGACATCCATGGATCCGAACATGCTTTAACTGAGGACACTGGTCCAGTGGGAAGCTCTCAATTGAATCACAGTTCCTTACTAGAATTTTTTCTGTAGTGGACAAGCATCCCTTTAATAGGGAGTCAAGGGACTTCAGTCGGTCAAGTTTGAGGCTGTGCTGCCCAGAAGACAATTTCTCTAGCAGCACTTTTCGAGAATCATCTTCCAGCTCTACTATAAGGAAGCTCGGAATCCTTGGAAGTAAAGACACAAGCTGTGGACATTCCCTGATCTCAAGTGTTGTTAAACAGGGAAGTTGACAGTTGGGCAGGACTTTTGTTAGGTGTGGACAACAATTTATGTAAGGCTTTTGGAGGCGAGGGAAAGCTCCACCTTCATCATGTTCTGAACAGAAAAACCACTCGTGCCATTTTGACATCCCTTCAAATGTCAAAATTTCAAGGGATCCAAATGGCTTCTTCATGGATGTGCAACTTCCATAGAACTCGGGACCAACAACCATGATTTCACCAAATTCTTTGATCAGGAGATCTTTCAGAGACACTAGCTGTCCAAGTGGAGGTAAGGAGGAGCAGTATTTACAGCCAATGAGCTTCAAGGAAACTATATTTGAGAACGAGGAATCTCCTATCCAATCTGGAAATCTAGTACCCGTATAACCAACAACTGAAAGGCATTCAATGCTCATATAAGGCTGTAATTGCTCCAGTACGAGTCTTTCATGCACTGAATCATTAGTATCACCTTTCCAAGTTAACTCCAACTCCTTAAGCAGTTGTTTACCCTTCAAATTGGCTTTTATTGCATTATGAGCATCCATGACATTTTGAAGATTCCAAATGCGGAGCATTCCTCTTAGGTGCTGGAGCTTCCCCAACTCATTGATGCTTGACCCACTTTGTTTTCCCAAAAAGAAATCAGTTAACTTTTGGAGTTTTGTTAGCTTACTTAATTGTGATGGCATCGCTAGTAACTTTGTTTTTGTAATATCAAGATGACATAAGTTGATCAATTTCATCATGCTGGTAGGCAACTCAATGAGGTCTTTGCATTCATGCAAAATTAATGTTTGCAAATTATATAAAGTACTCACAGAGTCAGGCAACCTTACTATTGATGTTGCAGATAGATTCAAGTATCGCAAATGCTTCAGATTACCAATTGAATTAGGCAAACCAACTACATCATCATCCAGAGACAGAGACAGTGCCCGTAAGCACCTGAATGTCAGAAATAAATTGTTCATTACCCCATTGCCAACATGTCTCCCCTGCTGCCAGTGTGACCGATTGAAAAGCAAAAGTGTACGCAAAAAGTGGGCTTCACAAGCACCTTTCAGTATCATAGTGCCATCACCATGTATTCTTGCAAACGATAAATGACGGGCCTTTTTACTAATCTTAGTTGAATTGTCATCCTCTAAACTGCAGCAAAATTCTCCAGAAACAAATTTTGCTAAGTCATTTATTAGGTCATGCATAACAAATGACGATGTATAGCCACTTGATTGTTGAAAAAATGACCTTGATACGAGATCATGAAAGTACTCTTCACCCAAATCTTCCAACTCCATGTTTCCTTTAGGTTGGTTTATAAAACCTTCTGCCATCCATAGAAATAGTAATTCCTCCTTCTGAAATTCATAACCTTTAGGAAATATTGCAGAATAAGCAAAACATTGTTTTAGATGCGATGGGAGATAACGATAGCTCAATCTCAAAGCTAGAAGAATGTTGTCAATTGGTAAATCCCACATATCACTCCTCAATATCTTCATCCACTCCTTAGCATCTCTTTTGGAGCGAAGGAGACCCCCGAGTGTTTTTGCAGCTAGCGGCAGGCCTTTACATTTTCTCACTATTTCTCTTCCAATTACTTGCAAATCTGGATGTAGGGATGAATTTCCATCATCAAATGCATGTTTTGCAAACAAGAACCAGCAATCATCGTTGGTTAATTCCTTTAGACGGTAAGTTGCAACAGTACACATGACTGATGCTACGCTTTCATTGCGTGTTGTGACAATAATCTTGCTTCCCTGTACTGCCGACTTTAGAGGTCTCATTAAAATATCCCAATCAGCATAGCTATTATTCCAAACATCATCTAAAACAAGCAGAAATTTTTGCCCCATTAATCTCTCCCTTAGCTTTAGTTGAAGCTGATTTGGAGTCCTGGCATCATCAATCACTGAACCGAACTCCTCAAGGACATCATTTGTTATCTTAAAAACATCAAAATTTTCTGAAACACAGACCCATGCTTTGAGATCAAATGACTCCTGCACTCCGCGGTCATTGTAGACAAGCTGAGCTAGAGTAGTCTTACCGATTCCACCCATACCAACAATGGGAATCACATCTAAGTTTTTCCCATTTGAAACATCAGATAGCAACAACTTCATTATAGCTTCCTTATCATGATCCCTACCGCAAACATCAATATCATCCACCAAAGAAGTTGTTGGTGTTTTCTGGAATGATGGTTTCTCTCCCATACCCTCCCTCAAACCAAGGGCATCCTTTTGTTGTACTAAATATTCAAGTCTATCAAGGATCTCTCCCAACTTTTCTCCCATCTCTTCCTTCTCCCTTTTACTAGAATACAAAGTGCTGCGCGCCTGATTAGCGATGATTTGTGATCCAGCTTCCACCTCCAACCGCAGAGCTTCATAAGCAATCTCATCCAACAAGTCATCAGCTTCATACACAGCATCTTTAAGCTCATCGAGCCACTCTTTCACAGCTGGCTTAGTAACCTGCTTCTCCTCTGCGTCATCAAGCACTCCATTGACAGATATCATCATAATCTTCAACTTCTTAAGCAGCCTTTCATTGAGATTTCGCTCCTTGAAGAAGTCTAAAACCTCACAAGACGCCATTCTATCAAACAAAACTTGAAGGAAAGCAGAGAGAATTGACCCTCCTACCAAAGCTGCAGCCATAGCTTCTCCTTCTTCGAAAAGGGTCTGCTTACAAAACGAAAACTGATCAACATAAAGAAAATTAACTTGAAATCTTGAATTGATAGTTGACTTTACCTTGTAAATAAAGCAAGACATCAGGAATTGGCAATTACAAAACTTGTTATCAATGACCGTTGACTTTACTTTGTTAGCAATCGTGGGGGCAATAAAAATCACAGAAAAAATTAAGCTAAAACAGGATGCAAAATATAAGCAAATAAAACCGAAACATGAAGAACAAAAAAATTAATGGGAATCAAACATATAAGAGCAGAGACAAAGAACAGCTAGCATCAATCTGATACTGTTAAAAAGAACACCTCAAAAAAAAAAAATGTAAGAACGAAGTGAGAGCATAAAACCCATTATTACCTATGCAAAACCTGTAAGATGAGAGCTTCTTAAATCTTGGTTACAGTTGCTGCATGAAATGGAGGATTACTTTTTATCGTCAAGTGTGGGGATTTTTGGGTCTTGGCTTGGTGTCTGCGTTCTAGCGCTGGCTAGTGGCTCGAGGTAGTTGCGCGCGCATTCGGCTCGAGTCCTTCATCTGCTAATTATTTTTATAATTAATAACATTTTATATCATATAGTTTTTAGATCCGGTGGGTAGCTGACGCGTTCAAGATCTGGATTTTAAGTTTTAATCAAGATCGTTCAAGTTAATTTTTAAATTAAAAAAATATTATTTTTATTAAAAAAATTAACAAATTGTAATTAGGATTTTAACTGAGTTAACTGGTTGTCAGGTCAATCTAACACTAAATTTATTTATTTTTTAATCAGATCTCAAATCCGCCCACTGACCGGGTTCAAAACTGTTTTTTATATAATGGATTAGAAATGCAAAATGTCTGGACAACCCACTGCCAACTGACCTATGCAGAGTTTAAATTTTTTTTTCTTTATTTTAAATTATTTTTTGTTTTTTTAATCTTTTCAGATAACGCAACAGACAGGAACCAATTCAGTTACCCATTAAGGTTGTTCGATCATTCCTTAACAAGTTTGCAACTTGAAAAACCATCACCAATCCATTACCATCATTTACAGTTCGAGCTTCCAAGAGATATTGATCAACTAATTGTTCAAGAACTGTGTGTTCATTTTCTTATCACTTTGCATGTAATTTTCTTGTGGGTTGTGGTTGTTTCCATTCTTGTGTTTATTTTCAGATCATTTCTTCGGATTTTCATCACCTTTGACATAATGTCTGAACTTCATCGATGCATGAATATAAGAGCATTTGATGCATCCTCAGATATGAGGCAAAGAATAGTGATGAATGTGAGATGCCGGGGACGGAAACAGTACTGTTGGCAGAGACAATTCAGAGCTTTTCGTAAGAGTAATTTTGAGCCCACGTTGTTGGGTGCATGTAAAAAGGTGGCTTGCTCTCTAGAAGAAAACGATTAGGATATTCATGAGTTGCTTGTGCTTCTCTACCATTACATTTAGAGAAAACATGGCTATCAATGCTTCAGAGTTCAAAGATAAACCCTAATTCCTGGCTATATTTGTTGTTTTTAATCTTCCAGGAGATAACAAGGAGCATTTGACACGAATAATTAATGAATTATCCATGAAAGATTCGAGTGGGTTAACCATAACGCTGCCAACCCCGGCCTATTTGAGCCCTAGCACAGATGCCTCTTCTGGGCAGGGACACATGATCACGACTACTGCTACTTGTAAACAAAAACCTACCCTATGTCTCTGTCTCCGACAGTGAGCCGTCAAGTGACTTGACAAACTCTCTTCCTTCCTTCTTGTCCAATTCATGATCTTCATTCAGTTTCTCTCGTACTGAAGAAAAGAAACTTCAGAATGAAAAAGGATTAGGCAGGTTTGTTTCTTAATTTTAAAAGTATTTTTTTAAAAAAATTATTTTATTTTATTTGAAATTAATATTTTTTTTTAGTTTTTTAAAATTATTTTAATATAATAATATCAAAAATAATCTTTAAAAATAAAAATTATTATTTTAATATATTTTTAAATAAAAATTATTTTAAAATACAATGAAAGTATACTTCAGAAACACTCTAATTCTTATACCATGAGCGCCTCTCTGGGTGGAAACCTGCCGCAGCTGCTTTCTCTTATACCATGAGCGTCACTCGTGCCTAACTTGTAGCTGAGTTATTAAAGGCTTGATCGGCAATAGCCTTTCTTGAAATATCAATTTTTTGTGGTCTCAGCGTACAAAACTTTGATAATTTTCTCTTTGAACTTATCATATATGAAGCTGCGTTCATAGTACACATGTTTTGGTTTATTTTAAATTAATATCTCTTTTATATTTTTAAATTATTTTGATATATTAATATCAAAACTAATTTTTAAAAAATAAAAAAATATTATTTTAATTATTTTAAAAACAACCACAACTATATTCTCAAATTCGTTTTGTTTTTGTTTTTAATATTTTTAGATTGTTTTGACTTGTTAATATTAAAAAATTATTTAAAAAATAAAAAATATATTATTTTAATATATTTTTAAATAAAAAATTATTTAAAAATAATAACTATTTAAATTCTAAATATTATATTATGCTATTCTTTCCTTTTTTTCGCGCCAGCTCTCTTTTTTTTACTTGCGCAATTGGGCATGTTTAGGTCCGGTTGGGCCCTTTATATTCTTCCTATCAACGGCCCAACCAGCTGTCTGGGGCTCTTTCTTTTCCTTCCCTGATGGTTGGGTCATATGGCCCAACCAGCTGTCGGGGTGGACCATTGGGCCTAATAAGCCCTCCTGTTGGGCTTTGTGCTGTCAGATTTGATTATGTGATTCACTAAGGAGAGATGATGGCTTGACTTCCTTCCAGAGTTCAGTTGCATTTCTTCCTCAACCTGTAGCAAAAATCCTTGTATTTGGAAAAGGAAAACCCTAAACCCTCTTCCTTCTGATTCATATTCAGATGAGGCTCTCTCTCTGTCTCAAAATGAAGCTCTGTCCAAGCCTCCTGATTTCTCTCTTGCCAAAACGCTTTATAAAGACAGCACCTTCTCCTCCCATAACTCCACTACCCACCAGAAGTAATACCACCTCATCTTCTCCATCATCGTTTACACTTCAATTTCTTGTTAACTCATGTGGGCTTCCTTTAGAAACTGCTCTTACTGCATCCAAGAAGTTCCATCTCAACGAGAAGAACGTCCACAAGACTCAATGTTTGCTCCATTTCTTGAAATCTCACCACTTTGTGGACACACATATCGCCGATCTGATAAAAAAGATGCCCGCTTTCCTTGGTTGTAAAGTAGAAAACAATCTAAAGCCCAAGTTCGAGTTCCTCGCCGCAAATGGCGTTTCTGGTAACCTCCTTCCGCAACTTATCCTATCAAATCCTGATATTTTGTGGACGTCCTTGGAATCTACTATCAAACCATCTTTCAAGTTTTTGAAGTCTTTTCTTGGTACCAATGGGAAAATTACAGCGGCTCTTAAGCGTTGTTCATGGTTGTTGAGAGTTAATCGGAACAGAACTATGCAAACAAATATTGATTTGTTGATTAAAGAAGGATTGCCTCTTGACCGGCTTGCAAAACTCATTATCTCGAATCCAAGATCTCTGCTATCTAAGCATGATAAGATAGTTTATGCAGTGAATTCTGTTAAGACTCTGGGCCTTGAAACAAACGATACTATGTTCATATATGCTCTTGGGGTGAAGATGAAAATGACTGACACGACTTGGAAGAAGAAAATTGAGGTGATGAAGAGTTTGGGTTGGAGTGAAGAGGAGATTTTTGGCACTTTCAAGCGATGCCCTCAAATATTGCAATACTCGGAGAAGAAAATCAGGATTACCGTGGATTTTTTTATCAATACCGTTGATTTGGGACCAGAAATTCTACTGGTCTATCCTTCTTTGTTTTGCCTCTCAGTTGATAAGAGGGTTCGTCCATGGTATAATGTTATTAATGTTTTGAAGTCAAGGAACTTGATTAAAAGAGAAAAGAAGTTTCCTTCTTTGCTACTGATGAGTGAGAAGAAATTCTTGGAGAATTATGTTGATAAGTATGTGGATGATGTCCCTGGTTTATGGGAGGTGTATACGGGCACTGCCAACACAAAGAAGAAAGGCACTTGATGACAGAGATGTAAGTTCACTTGTGCAATACAAAGTGCTATGTAGTTGACTAAATAGCTCATCTGCTTTTGATTTACAGCTAGTTTTTGTTTGTTCAATGTATATTGTTCGTTTCTTATCATTTTGCATATGTGCTTTCATAGCCTTGTTTTTTTTCCCGTTCATTTCTGTGACCCCTTTTCATCTTTTACTCAGTTTGAGCTTCCTACATTAACGTGCCAACCTAAGAGCCTTCAATTGCCTTGTTAGAGTGTTGTGCAAAAACATTATGCATATTAAAGCTCATGTTAAAATGAGCTTGCATTACAAAGATATGCATTCATTGGCATTCCAACTTTCCAATTGAACACAAAACTTAACCACTTAGTATTTTCCAGCAGTTTAAGGCTGTTACTACATGTTAACGAACAGTTAAACATTTGTAGGCTGGTTGATGATGGTAGCAAGATGGGAAAATTGAACTTTATGTTGCGCAAAAAAGGTTGGAAACTGGAGTGCAGTGCGAACCATTGATTAAACAAGGAATTGTGTAGGGATGTACTCTTGTGCGAGCTATGATTCTGGTTTGGCAAACAGTTAAGGAATGCTCAGGGAAATGTCGAGGATAGTTAACCCTATTTGGGAAGGGTTAGGGTACAGATAGGTAGATTTGGACGGTCAATGATTTGGGGAAACTTCAGTGCAACGCTACTTGCTGGCTGTTTAATGATCAGGTAAAAATGATAAGAGCATTTCTCTGAAGTTGGTGATGAAAATGAAGAGAGCGGTTTCTTTGAAGCAGGATCAATGGTCATTTATGGCTTTTGTTCCATCAAAGGAGAAGATCAGATATTAAGAATTGCCATGGCCAGTTGGCTCCATGCTCTGGGATACAAATATTTGCTGATGCATTTGCCAAACTCGAAAGGATGGTCTCAAAGCAACAGTGTTTCTACAAGGGAGAGGTTGATTTTAGACATACAGTGAATAAAAGCCTCGGTTTCAATTTCTATGAGGTGCTCAAATCATTATATTTATGCTTTAGTGAAGGTTCCTTCAGTCCATGTTGGGTTACAAGCTTTGAAGGCTAGGAAATATTCATGTTTTTTTGCGCTCGTCCTGTGCTCTGGGGTTTAAGTTGTTCCACTTTTCGAGGGCCTTCATGTAAATGTCTCCCATTTCTTTCTGTTGGGTTACAATTTCTATTTCTTTTTTTTATCTAAATGTATTTACAAGGCTCCTCTAATTAATCAAAATCTCCTATGCTATTCAATATTCAATTAATCAAATCATCTCTTGCATCAATCTTTCTTTCTAAGTTAGAGAAAACTCAGACTCAAATCCTAGTCACCCACTAAACAAGAGAATAACTCATGTACATAAAAAACATTAAAAGTTTTCAAATCACTAGGAAGATGAAGTTGATTCGCATTGTGGTTCATATTTGTAGCATCTCACAACTACTGATCTTTCTCTCATAGAAATTCTACTCTTCCGCAGTAAACCTATGAAGAATAAGTAGTGTACATATCAAGTAACCAACCTCAAAAATAACATTCCTGATATGACTATTTGCTTGGGGTGGCGTTCATGTAGAAAATTGTTTGCCAGATCTCACCCTCACAAATATTTTGCCATATCTTCAGGTGGATTATGCACCTTGCTTTGAGTTATTTGACACTAAGAGTTTATTTGGTTGTGTTTTTAACTGTATTTGGTTGTGTTTCAAAAATGTGTTTAGCTGGAAAAAACATTAAGTTTTTTAGAACATGATTGGAACCTTCTAATTGAATTTAATTCAAAGAATTTAATAAAATCTCATATTTGAAACATCAAGTTAATGTTTTATTAGAGCATGTTTGGAACCTTCGAATTCAATTCAATTAAGAGGTTTTGATAAAATCTCATGTTTGAACATTAAGAATTGAATTCCAAATAGAATTTAATCTTTAAAAATGCTATAAAAATAAATCGGATGTCAACTCCTTTAATTTACAATTACAAAAAAGATAAACTTAATATTAAAACTAACATTTCCAAAATAATAGTGTGACCCTCTTCTTTTTTCTTTTTTTGTTGTAAGATCTTTAAAAAAATAAGATGAGGGTCACAAGGGTAATATAAAAAATAAAATGAATTGAATTTTATCTTTTCAAAACATCTGAATTTAATTTTTTTATCAATTGGATTTAAATCAAACACTATAATTAAAATCAATTATAGTAGAGAATTGGTTTCAAACAACTTGTTAGTGTTTTTTTTTTATAATTTTGTTGTGTTAATATTAAAAATATATAAAAAAATATTATTTTCAAGTATTTTCAAGTTATAAAAAATATTATTTTCAAGTATTTTCAAGTAAAAAATATTTTTAAAAAGTACATTACACCATAATCTAAACACCTACTAAAACCTTATTTTAGATTGAGTTTGTAGTTGTGGTTGTGGTGCAACCGTACTCTTAAACAAGATTTAATTTAAGTATGTGTTTAGTATTATAGTAGTTTTTAAGATCACACTTACAAAAAATAACTTAAAAAAAAACTATAAAATAGAACTTTTATATAATCAAGGTTTTAAGAGAAAATTTTCAATGGAACTAATATAAATTTACGATATGTGTTGATTAATTAAATATTTTTAAAATTATAATTAAAATAAAATAAAATATATTTTAAACCACATCTCACTAAATAAAAGGATGTTTGGGAATGTAGTAATGATTGTTTTTTAAAATATTTTTTTATTTAAAAATATATTAAAATAATATTTTATTTTTCTTATCAATAAATCAAAATAATTTAAAAAATTTAAAAAATGTTAAATTTAAAATTTTGCAGAAGAGGGTGCAACCAAACAGTGCATAAATAAACAAATCTACTAAAACACTTTAATCGGAAAGGTACCATGCTGTCATTCACAAATGTTTTTTTTTAATTGAAGAGGGATTGTCTCTTGTCGGCTTGCAAAACTCCGGATCTTGTTCCCAAGGCGTCTGCTACGTAAGCATGATGGCATGGTTTATGCAGTGAAATCAGTTAAAAATCTCCTACATATTAATAGTAAATAAAAATAGTAAAAATAATTATATTTAAATAAAAATATTTATTAAATAATTTTTTTAATAAAAATGTAAATTAAATATTTCTTAATAAAATTAATTCAAACTCTGAATTTTAATAAAAAAAAATAAAAGAAAAGAAAACACTAAAATATTGAAGGAGTAATAATGCATGAAAATCTTGAAAATATAATTATAAATTCTTCCTTCAATCCATAAAAAAATTATTTAAATAAATACTGAGAAAAAAGGAAAATCATTTAGTGTAATTAATCTTCAAAATAATAACTATGTAGAAAATTGGATAAACTTATAGTCGCGGGATAAAAACTTAATAGTTATATTTTTAAGTGGTTTTTTATTTTATTTGTTATTGTTTTAATTTTAGAGTTTTTAAGTTAATTTTAAAATGATATTTTCTTGGATAAAATAATATAAAAAAATTCAAACTACTTTATTTAAATAAAAAATGAATATTTTTTTTTATTGAAATTGAACTTCGATTAAGTTAATAAAATCATGAATTATCTAAAATTCATCCGTTTAAGAGGATGACTTCAAAACCCAATCAGATAGGGCCCACACTCGATGGACCCATAAAGCACGTGACTTTTGACCGCCCCCACCGTCCGATCCGCTTCCTGCGCTTCACTTTAAGGCCCTCCTCTCTCCCCCTCTCTAAAATCCCAAAAAACATAACCGAGAAAAATTCTCTCCTTCTCCTCACAAAAAGAAACCCCAAAAGAATTAAAAAAAAAAAAAAGCAATATCCATTGGATCATCTCCATGTCTCATTGCATTAGCCATCACCACCGTCAAGGACAAAACAAGAAATGCCGGTGTCATCATCCCGTGCGTGCATGAACATTACCTGATTTGTAGCAGCAAAGCCAATGGAGGGCCTGAGTTCAATTTTCTTGATGTTGTTGATAATAAAGAAACAATCTTGATTCATATAGAAAAAAAGAGGAGGGGTTTTTTTAAGGTTTTTTTATATATAAAGTATGTCTGAATTGGTAGCACGTACTGGTCGACATCAACAACGGTACGAGGGCGGTTGTCGACTTGTTGCCGGGTAAAGAACAAACCCTTTTCATGTTTTTATCTGAAAATGATTTGTATGCGTGAAAGATGTGTTTTTGATTGATGTGAAAATGTATTTTGTTTGATGTGTTGAATTACTGTTGTATGTGTCTTTTTTGTTAGTGACATGAGATTTTCAAATTTGGAGGGTTGTGGCTATGTGTGATTGATTGGTATGTTTTTGACTTTATGTTGATTAATGAGATGCTGTTAAAATTTACAATTGATGGGTGTGCCATCGGTTTTATCCACACACAAAAAAAAAAAAAAATTATTTTCCTGTTTGGATGTGGTTTTTGTTAATTTAGTGGGAATCGGTGGCTATGAAGGTATAATGTACAATGTCGACATTATTAGTTATTTGGTTATTTGATTAGAGTAATTTGTTGAATGATGAAAGGTAAGCAACTTTGACCAGTAGGTGATGGAAAGATATGTGTTCATTTTGATGGATTATGGTCAATGTTGATGACAGATAAATTGAGGATTGAGATAATTTTGAGGCTTGTTTGCTGGAACCTTTTCTATCATTTGCCACCGTTGCTTCTTGGAACCCAGTTTACAAGGAAGGTGATTTTGGACTTGGTTGTAGAATAAAAATTTAAATGGTTTGGATGCACGTCCTTGAACGTGGAGGCTTGCCTCTTCTTAACTCAGTTTATGTTCAGAGTCCAAAAACAGGTATTCTGGCATCATTTTGCCCATTATTTCTGTAGGGAATAGGAAGATCATACCATCAGTCATGTGCTGAATGAATAGCCGAGAAGGTTTGTAAGCATCTTGGTGGGTGGAAAGATGCTTTCTTGTCTTTAGGGAACTAATACCCGCACTCCTGCCCAGGTTCTGAAATGATTGAGCAGGAGATGTCAAATTTCCTCTTGGTCTTGATGTAAAGTAAAGAGTGATTGTTTGGTTAGTTGCGAGGTCTATTGTAGGTCTAACTTGGTGAATTCCCCTTAGGACCAGATTTGTTTGGCATTAGACAGTCTGGATTCTGCAGAAAGTATATCTTTGTTGAATAAATGGGATCTAATAGAGTTATTGTTATTCGTGAGCACTAGGAAGATCATTTGACAGGTGTTTTCCTTAGTTGTGTCGTCAACATAGTCTAAGGTTTTTCTCAGGAATCCCATCTTAGAAGTCTTATGATCAAGATTTGTTAGAATGAGGTTGGGTTCCCACTAAAAGTACAAACAAGAAGAAAAATATGGCTTAGGAAGAAAGAAATAACTAGTTGAAAACCCTGCAAGTTTCTGCTGCCTTTGAATGGTGCTAAAAGTCAATTGTCTTATTTAATGTTGAGTTGCTAAGTGCTAACTCATGGTTTTATTGACAGGTGTATTCCATATAGATTTAGAGATTATTGTGAAGATGATAATGCCAATTCGGTGAAGGTTGTTGAGCTTCTTATGATCAATTCACCCAGTGGACCAGGTCTCTTGTTTCCAAAGGTATAAAGTCGTGAGATGCTCTTCTGGCATTTTACTATGCACACTTTGCTTTGTACATCTACCTTTTCTTTTGGCCCGTTACCTTCTGATTCCGCTATAGAATGTGATTTAAGTTTTTATTTTTTTGTAGATATTTCAATTTACAGTAGTTTTCCCCTTCAAAATTTTAAACATGCTCGAGAGGATTATCTGATTATCATAACTAACTTTTTGCTTCTGCAGCTCAAGTCTGTGACTCTTAGTTATTGTGAAAGTTCCTTAGGATGATTTGAAGTCTGAACTCTTGCTTCCTTGTATGAAGAGACATTTTATTTTTGAAACCAGTAATCTCGACCACATGGCCTTAGAGTTGTGCCGATGTTGGATTTTAGATGGGAAATAACAAGGGGAATGCAAATGAAGCTGCATCTGATAATAGGAAGATGGCCAGTATTGAGTTTATAGCTTAGGAGTATCAGAAGTGATTTTGGAGCTAATGATTCTGTATGAATATTTGCAATTACTCTGGCATATTTGTGCCTTGAGCATGTTTTTTGAGGTCTGTGTGCGTGAGCTTGCATGCTTGTATTTCTAGTGAAATGCAAAATTCAGTCAATACCTTTTCACTTTATTTTGGTTTTGACTATATGATTAAGGAATCCCAGACCTTACAAATCCATTTATGGTTTCAATGTCAATCCTCCGATCTT